CGTCTTGATGTCGTTCTCGCGCAGGTCCAGGCGCAGCAGCCGAGGGGACTCGGCCACGAACTCGGCCACGGCCACGGCCCCTGGGGACAGGAAAACAAACGGGAATAGGAGGATGGGATTCTGGATAAAATAAATGGGAATGGGGCCAGGATTATGGGGAAAATAAATGGGAATGGGGCCGGGATTACAGGGAAATATAAATGGGAATATGGGGAGGAATGAGGGGACTCGGCCACGGCCCCTGGGGACAGGAAAATAAACGGGAATGGGGTGGGAATTCTGGGGAAAATAAACGGGAATGGGGATGAGATTATGGGGAAAAAAGTCCCTGGAGTGGGGCGGGAAACAGGGAAAAATAAATGGGAATGGGGATGGGATAATGGGGAAAATAAATGGGAATGGGGCCAGGATTATGGGAAAAAAACCCTGGAGTGGGGTGGGAAACAAGAAAAAAATAAATGGGAATGAGGCTGGAATTCTGGGAAAAATAAATGGGAATATGGGGAGGGACGAGGGGACTCAGCCACGGCCCCTGGGGAGAATCAAAAAGCAGGAATGGGGTGGAATTCTGGGAAAAGTAAACAGGAATGGGGTGGAATTCTGGGAAAAGTAAACAGGAATGGGGTGGAATTATTGGGAAAAAATCCCTGGGTTGAGGTGGGATTCCAGGGGAAGTGGGGGGAAATCCCAGGAACTGGGGATGGACAGGGGGTGTAGAGGCTCCTTGGGGGTTTGGATGGGGGGAGCTGGGGGAAAAAAATCCAGGGAATTCAGGAATTCCGGGAAACTGGGGGAAACTGAGGGAACAGGGGAAATCCAACACAACCCCATCCCAACTTTCCCAATCCAATTTTTCCATCCCAACTCTCCCAATCCCATCTCTGCTTTCCCAAGCCCATCCCAACTTTTCCCATCCCAAATTTCCCAAGCCCATCCAAAATTTCCCATCCCATGCCAACTTTTCCCATCCCAAATTTCCCAAGCCCATCCCAAATTTCCCAAGCCCATCCCAAATTTCCCAAGCCCATCCCAAATTTCCCAAGCCCACCCCAATTTTCCAAAGCCCACCCCAATTTTCCAAAGCCCACCCCAACTTTCCAAAGCCCACCCCAACTTTCCCATCCCAAATTTCCCAAGCCCACCTCAATTTTCCCAACCCCATCCCACCTTTCCCATCCCAACTTTCCCAAGCCCATCCCAATTTTCCCATCCCAAATGTCCCAAGCCCACCCCAAATTTCCCAATCCAATTTTCCCACCCCAACTTTCCATCCCACCTTTCCCAACTTTCCACCCCACCTTTCCCATCCCAATTTTCCCATCCCACCTTTCCCAACCCCATCCCACCTTTCCCAACCCCATCCCACCTTTCCCAACCCCATCCCACCTTTCCCAACCCAATTTTCCCATCCCAACTTTCCATCCCACCTTTCCCAACC